TTTTGTTATATATACCATGTAATCTATAACAATGTGGCCACATTGAGTTAGAACTTTCTATTTATACATAGAAGTATCGCTCTCCTATCTACCATTGCTCAAAGAGCATATTTAAATTATAATCTTCACCAACTGTATATTTGACACTATCTCTGTTTCTCATTTATTACCAATTAATTGATGTCCTAGTACACTTGTTTTTTTTAATTTTATTTTATTATGTTAGTCACCATACATTACATCATTAGTGTTTGATGTAGTGTTCCATGATTCATTGTTTGTGTATAACACCAAGTGCTCCATTCAATACGTGCCCTCTTTAATACCCATCACCAGGCTAACCCATCACCCCCACCTCCCTCCCCTCTAGAACCCTGTTTGTTTCTTAGAGTCCATAGTTTCTCATGGTTCGTCTCCCTCTCTGACCTCCCCCCCTTTGTTTTTCCCTTCCTACTATCTTCTTTTTTTGTTGTTGTTTTAACATATAATGTATTATTTCTTTCAGAGCTACAGGTCTGTGATTCATCAGTCTTACACAATTCACAGCACTTACCATAGTACATACCCTCCCCAATGTCCATCACCCGGCCACCCCATCCCTCCACTCCCCTCCACTCCAGCAATCCTCAGTTTGTTTCCTGAGATTAAGAGTCTCTTATGGTTTCTCTCCCTTTTTGGTTTTGTCTTGTTTCATTTTTCCCTCCCTTCCCCTATGATCCTCTGTCTTGTTTCTCAAATTCCTCATGTCAGTGAGATCGTATGATACTTGTCTTTCTCTGATTGACTTATTTCACTTAGCATAATACCCTCTAGTTCCATCCACGTTGCTGCAAATGGCAAGATTTCGGGGTTTTTTTGATGGCTGCATAATATTCCATTGTGTATATATACCACATCTTTTTTATCCATTCATCTGTTGATGAAGATCTTGGCGCTTTCCACAGTTTGGCTATTGTGGACATTGTTGCTATAAACATTGGGGTGCCTGTGCCCCTTCTGATCACTACATTTGTATCTTTGGAGTAAATACCCAGTATACACTTGTTTTTTAAAGTCATGATTCTTCAAAAAGAAAACAAACATTTGGTGCAGGCATCTGTTAAGGGAAGACTGTCTCCTAAGCTGCAGCTCTGGTGTGTGAACGCCATTCCCGACCAACTTGCTGCTCTGAGCTGCAGCAATGAGATGGAGAATATAGGCTTCCTTGACTTATGATATCAAGATTTCTAAGTCTGAATCCCCCTGAAGTTATTGCTCCTATAATGCTTCCTCTGTCACAATGTGAGATGCAACCCTCCGTGTTGGAGCCCAAAATTTTCGAATTAATCACCAAGTATGGATTCCATAATTGTTGCTTTATCACTTAGAAAATAGTGAGGCAGGTTTTTCTTCTAGCCTTATATCCCTTTTATGAATGAAGGGGCTTGGGTCTACTGCTTGGAAACATCATGGGTTTTGAAGTAAATTCTCTGACCTGAATCAAGAGAAAGAAATCTGGGAGAGGCTTCTGAATTCATCTTTTAGAAAGATAGGAGCTATTAGACTCTGGAGAAAATAAATAGCAGCTACAGAATGTATGGAGGACTCCAGGTTGGATTAGAGATGTCAGAAATAACTAAGGTGTTCATTTAAAGGAGACTAAAGGAAAATAAGAGGATTTGAGGTGTTTGTCTTAGCTGAAAGCACTTTAAATGGAGAAAGGCAACTTCAGCACTTATTTATAAGCTTAGGTAAAGAATTAAATTGAATTTCATTGGCTTCTGTGATAGTTCTTTCCATGGACTTAGCCTGTATTTTATTGGATTTCATTCTAAGACCATCTTTTGACCAAATGAGGTTTTCCAGAATAAAATATTTTTAAAGTAGAGTCAGATCTACCTTTCTCTAAAAGGTGTTTATTCCTGTTCACTACCATAATGAATAGATGCATTTTTCATCCTCTCCCTGGGAAGAGAGTCGCATTACTTAGTTGTATAATAATAATATTTTTATTCATTGAATGCCCATGTGCTATGCACTGTAGATGCATTCTATCACTTAATCTTCATAAATGTTTGGGAAAGGGCCAATATCTTCTCTGGCTTATTAATGAGGATCATAATGGGTAAGGAAATTGTCTGTGGATAAAAAATTTGGTGGCAAAGCTAACACTTGAAGTCAACTGTTTGATTTGTGGTGAACAGCATTGAAGAGTAAGATTTAACCACGCATGTCCATCAGAATTGTATGAGAGGCTTTCCAAAATGCATAGCTCAGGCTCTAGCCAGAGTTAGTACCAGGATTTCGAACAAGCTGTGTGGGCAGCTAAAGTCCTCCACTCTAAGGGAGGAATCCAAGTCTCATCCCTCCAATGTCCCCTTTCACAAATAATGCTGAAGGCAGTACTCCAAGCCATGCACACATATGTAGGATATGTGACAGGACCTCTGGCTAGAGTTCTACTTATCACTGTTCTGTGCCTAATAGGTATAAATTCAGGAACTATTACCTTTACCACTGAGGAGTGGGCAGGGCCAAAGGATTGGGACCCGGTTTATATACTCTATCCAGGAAGAAGATCAACAGGTCTGGGCAAAAGGAGAGTCCCAAAAGAGATTAGAAAAGTCATTTTCTTGAATAAAATTGGGAAATCATAAAATGCTAAACTTATGTTTCTTCTTGCATTCATAGCTTCTAATTAAAGTAGCCCAGGATGGCTTGGACAGCATGGTCCAGGATGGTCACTGATGCCCTGAGCAGTGGAGGGAGCACACAACATTAAAAAGGCAGTGAAACATCAACCATAAATGGGGAGAGCCATGGAGCTGAAATCTCTCAGGGGTACTGCTAATAGCAAAGAATGGTATGAAAAATTACTTAAGCAAAAAGCAGTGAGTCATCTCTGCTAGCTTCTCCCAGAGGAAACAGTTCCAGTTAGGGGCTGTTTATGCATTTATTCATTTATTAAACAAATACTTACTAAGTATCTTCTCTGTACTTGTCCTAGGTCTCTTGGAGGCAAAGTTGATAAATTGGCCTAGTTTTCAGGAAGAGAAAAAAAGTCTTCAACAAATGGGTGTGGTCAGTTTTTGAATTGCTGATAATTCATCTCCTATTTTATTTTTTGTTACTTTAGGAAAAAGCTATTCTGCCTGGACATGAGAAATATATCAGGAAGTAATAAAATAATGCCTACTCCCATCCAGGATGGGAGGAAAATCTTTCTACCTCTTAAAACTGGATGATTAAGGTTTTGTGCTCTAAGAGCTAAAGTCTCCTTATGATGGTTGATCAAGCTTTTTTGGATGAATCATCAAGTCCAATTAAGGAAAGGGAAGGGAAGGAACAGAACTGAAGGAACAGGAGGAAAACTACTCCTTCCTCCCCCCTTGTTCTAATAATATACAGGAAAAGAGTGACAGGGAAAAGAAACTTGGGCCCTGGAATTTACATACCTGGCTTTCATTGCTGTGTATCGCTCAGACCATCTGGGAGTGAGCTCGGGAATAGCTTACCAGGACAATGACTTACTTCCAATGACCAGGCCAAAATAAATTATATTTTCAACTCTGTGTCTAGAGTGATAAAATATCATGATTGTCAGTACAATCATACCAGGACTAGAACAGGGAGAATAAGAATGGTTTCCCAAAGAAAGATCTATAGGACAGATATGGGCCCTTGATAAACTGCTGTGAGCTCAACAGTCAACCCACTTGGCGTCTACTGCATCTCTTTCAAGATATGTTAAATTATCTATCCATTCATAAAAATGCAGAAAATATATTAGTCCTTTATAAGAACTTAATAAGTATTAATGCAAGTAATAAAAATTGAGGCTAAAATCGTTTAGGCCTATGCAATATGTCCATTTTTACATCTGAAAACTTTGATTTAAAAGAAATTGTTTTTTAAGAAGCATATTAAAAGCAGATGTGTAGAATTCAATAAATGGTGTTAGAACAACTAGGCAGCCTTCTGGAAGAAAGTAAAAGTAAAGTTTTTTCATAATTTGCAGCATAAGAAAATAGATCAATGATACCAATTTTGAATTTATAAAAATACTAAATAATCCATGGAAATGTAAAAAAAATTATAGTGGTGAAAATTCTTTATAAGTATGAAATAAAACTCCAAATCCCAAAAAATAACATTGATAAATTTAATGACATACATTTAAAAAAAATCTGCATTGATCAAGCTTCTAAGAACAAAACCAAAAGAAAAAGAATTTGTTTCTTTAGAAGATATAAAGCATTGCCATATCAATAAGAAAATGTCCATCAACCCAGCAGAAAAAGGTAAAAAGAAAGAAGGAAGGAGAAAGATTCACAGAATGGGAAATACAAATAATTTTTAAACATATGAAAAGATTCTCACCTTACCTCACTCTAAGAGATATGTGAATTTTTTTAAAGGTTTATTTATCTGAGAAAGAGAGAGAGCATGCAAGCGCACCCAACTGGGGCAAGGGGCAGAGGGAGAAAGAGAGAATTCCAAGGAGACTCTCCATGGAGCCAAACTCAGGGCTCTGTCTCACCACTCTGAGATCATGACCTGAGCTGAAAACAAGAGTCAGATGCTCAACCAAAAATGCCACCCAGGTGCCCTAAGATATGTGAATTTAAACTATGTTTCTATTTATCTGCTATCAAGTAGATCAAGATATTCAAATAACATACTGAATTCGCAAAGGTATGTTGAAACAGGACTTCCAGGTATAGACTATAAATTGAAACAACCTCAGGTGCCTGGGTGGCTCAGTCAGTTGGCCATCTGACTTCAGCCCAGGTCATGATCCCCCGGTCCTAAGATTCAGTCCCCTGACGGGCTGCCTGCTCAGAGGGGAGTCTGCTTCTCCCTCTGCCCTCCCCCCATACACACATGTACTCTCTATCTCTCAAATAAATAAAATCTTTAAAATAAATAAATAAATAAACAGATAGATAGAAACAACCTCTAGGAACTCTAATTTGGAAATAATAATCAAAGTGGAAAATGCACATTACCATTGGTTAATTCCATTTCTTAAGATTTGCTTTCTTTATTAACTGATATGTGTAAGAACAGGCACTTATACAAGGATATGCCACTGCAGTCCTATTTGAAATAGCAGGATAAAAGACTTCACTAGCCTTCCATTCGTGTGATGATGGTTCAGTGATATGATGGATTATTATGCAGCTGTGAAAAAAAAATCTAAAGCTGAGTAAGCTCTCTATGTACTGATATGGAATGACTTTAGTTTTTAAAAATGAGAAAAAAAGGTAAATGTGTTATGGTAGCTTTCTATTGCTGCTGCTGTAACAAATGAATACAAACCTAAAGGTTTAAAACAAAACAAATTTAAACCTAGAGGTTTAAAACAAAACAAATATATTATCTTACAGTTCTGTAAGTCAGATGGTGGGCATGGGTCTTGCCCGGGTAACTCGGAGTATTGTCAGGGTTGTATTCCTTCCTGGAGGCCCCAGAGAGAATGTGTTTCCTTCCTTTTGCCAACTTCTAGAGGTCACCTACATTCCTTGGCTCATGGGTCCCTTCCTTCATCTTGAAAGGCAGCAAGATCACATCACTCTGGATCTTCCTCTGTGGGCACTCCTCTCTCTGACCACAACTGGGAAAGGTTCTCTGCTTTTAAGTGTTCAAGTGATCAGACTGGACCCATCTGGATAATCCAAACAATCTCCCCACCTCAAGGTACATACCTGTAATCACATCTGTAATGCCCCTTTTTCCATGTAAGTTCACCAAGGCACAGGTTCCAAGGATTAGGGATGGACATCTTTGCGGGTCATTATCCTGCCTACCACAAAACATATCCATGTGAATATAATGCTAATTTTGCTTTAAAAATGAAAAGATTATATATATGACAAAACATTAAGAATAGTGCTAATTACATGAAAAACCATTAATACAGGTTTCCTGAAGAAGAGGGATGACATAGAAGTGAGAGGGAGAATTTCTCTTGTGCTCTCTTTTGTACCTTTTGAATTTTGAATCATGTAAATTATTATCATTACAAAACCTACATTTTTTTAAAGGATAAAATCAAACCTCTTTGCAAATTGTAAAAGAAAGATACATGTAGATTGGTTTCATTCCAGTCGGGGACTGTGAACCCTCGTATTGATGAATAATAAATGTGGCTTAGAAACACTCCAGGGCCCTTGTGGAGGAGAAGTCAGTGGAGAATGAGCACTAGACTGTGGCCACCATACAAGGCAAGGAGAGCGGGGGTTGCCTCATTGACCTGTTCCTGCTGCTAGAGCCTCCTTGTATTTTTATGTCAGCAATTCCACAGAGCCTGAAGGGAAACCTGCATTACAACCAGCCACAAGGGAGAAACAAAAAGTGGGGAGGGAGGATCCCCTAATTTTATTAGTGTTACTCCTTCCAGACTCTCACGAAAGAAAAATAGGCTATGTGTTAGCCTATGCATAAGTCTTTTTTTTTTATTTTTTTAAATTTTTTTTTCATTTATTTGAGAGAGAGAGAATGAGAGACAGAGAGCATGAGAGGGAAGAGGGTCAGAGGGAGAAGCAGACTCCCTGCTGAGCAGGGAGCCCGATGTGGGACTCGATCCCGGGACTCCAGGATCATGACCTGAGCCGAAGGCAGTCGCTTAACCAACTGAGCCACCCAGGCGCCCATAAGAGTCTTTAAAATATTGTCAAAAAGTGAAAAAGGAATTGTTGGTTCTTTCATTAGTAACATTTGTGTTCCACTCTACATTGGTACTAGTAACCTTGTTTCAAAAAAATAGTTTCATATATCATATTAATGTATATATGAAAGGGAAGGTTCATGTTTAATGAGCTATAGTAGTGTCTATGTGTGAACATAGGAGAAATTAAAGTAGTCTCAGTGTTGTTATATGTCACTTCAGGAGTGACTGGAGTCAGTATGTTTTCTAAAATCTTTGAGTACTGAAATTCTGGAGTTTATCAAAATTATGATGCCAAATTCTCTTTGGTGTTTTTCACTTGTATTGTAAAATAACAATTTTTCTCTTCCTGGTAAATAAGTTTTCCCCTAATATGTGAGAAACATTTTAAGCTTTTTAAAAAGAAATAAAACTGTCTTGGAGACACAGATTTGTATGTAGGAGGCTAAATACCACTGATAGAGTAGCAAAAATTCTTCTTGTGGAGATTTAATGAGTTAAAATTGATTGGAGATATTTTTAAAGTAAAGAATGCAGTCCCCTCCCAAGATATCAATCATCAAGACAATGACAAATAATTGAATAGAAAGTTAGACAAAGAAGCCAATGGGAAATTCAAAGATGTGAAAACCTAAATGATTTAACTAAAAAACACATGAAATATTTAGCAGCTATGTTAGTGAAAATTAAATGCAAATCAAAGTAAAAAAATATTGTCTCACATTAATAGATTGGCAATTTTTAAAACTTGACAGTGCTAAGTGTTGACATAGATGTGAAAAACTTTTAACTTTGTGGTACAATTTGGCAAAGACCTAGTAGAGTTGAACATACATGCACACTACAACTAGAAATTCCACCACCAACTATGCACTGATGAAATTGTCATTTGTCCACAAAAAGATGCACAAGATTGTTCAAAACAGCACTGAGTTTTATATGAAAATAATAGGAACTACGTAAATGAGAAAACAGATGAATAAACAGATGAATGAATCTAATGGAGTATTGTATCAGAGTGAAAAATGAATGAACAAGAGTAGAGAATATAATCATGGGTTAATCTCTCAGACAAGCAGTCTTTCAGGCAACTTGCCGAAGAATGCAGTCTGGTGCCTGTCTCAGTCTATTAGGGCTGTCATAACAAAACACCACAGACTGAGTGGCTTCAAAAACAGACAGTTATTTCACACAGTTCTGGAGGCTGGACCCCCCCAAGATGGAGGTGCAGGCAGGTTCTGTTCTTGGTGAGAACCCTCTTCCTGACTTGCAGACAGCGTCTTTTCACCGTGTCTTCATGTGGTGGGGAAAGAAAGAGCAGAAGTGAGCTCTCTGGGGTCTTTTTTTATAAGGGCACTAACCCCATGGTGAGGGCCCCACCCTCTTGAACTCATCTAAGCTTCCTTACCTCCTAAAGGCCCCACCTCTAAATACCATCTCATTGGGGATTAGAGTTTCAACATATGAACTGGGAGTGTGGGGGACAGTGGGACACAATTCAGACTGTAGTAGGGCCCTATATATTACATTTTAGAATCTTAAAAAAATATATTTTCAACCTTTGTAATAAAAGTATAAACACCGTAAGTCAGAATAGTTATTCCCTCGGGAGATGGGAGAGAAGGAAGAGATCAGTAAGAGGCAGAGACCTACTGAGTCTCACATTCACCTTCATTAATTATAAGTATGGAACATTTTGCGTAAATGTGTCCAAATGAAAGTTCATAAGTAGAGTAAATTGTGCTCATTAAGAACAAATTCAAATTCTGAGAAATAATAGACCCAAGGTACTTAGGCAACTCATCTTTTTTTTTTCTTGGAATAATTTTATTTAATTTCAGTTTCTTGCTTTAAAGTCCAGCTACTCTTTTTTTTAAAGATTTTTTTAAGATTTTATTTATTTTTTTAAGATTTTATTTATTTTTCTGAGGGGCGCCTGGGTGGCTCAGTTGTTAGGCATCTGCCTTCAGCTGGGGTCGTGATCCTGGGGTCCTGGGATGGAGCCCCGCATCGGGCTCTCTGCTCAGCAGGAGGCCTGCTTCTCCCTCTGCCACTCCCCCTGCTTGTGTTCCCTCTCTCGCTGTGTCTCTCTCTGTCAAATAAATAAATAAAATCTAAAATAAATAAATAACTAAAATAAATACGTTACTTGGTTCTTGGTACTTACCATATAAACCACTGCCTTCTTAATGTGAGTGATTGTTTCATGCTATAAATCCAAGAAAGGCTCAAGGGTGAATATCATACTCACCCTTATCATATGTCACTTTGAGTCCACATTTGAGAGAATGCTTTTGCTCTCAATCTAACGCTCCTTAAAAAAAAAAGAAGAAGAAGAAGACGATAGCAGGAAGGGAAAAATGAAGGGGGGGAAATCGGAGGGGAAGACAAACCATGAGAGATGATGGACTCTGAGAAACAAACTGAGGGTTTTTGATGTACTGTTCCATGATTCATTGTTTGCGTATAACACCCAGTGCTCCATTCAGTACATGCCCTCCTTAATACACATCACTGGGCTAACCCATCCCCCCACCCCCTCCCCTCTAGAACCCTATCATCTAGAGGGGAGGGAGGTGGGGGATGGGTTAGCCTGGTGATGGGTATTAAAGAGGGCACATTCTGCGTGGAGCACTGGGTGTTATACGCAAACAGTGAATCATGGAACAGTACATCAAAAACTAATGATGTAATGTAAGGTGATTAACATAACATAATAAAAAAAAATGTGAACACCTCAGTCATTATTATGCTGGGAACTTTACATCTCTCCTTCCCCTTCCTCCAAATCCCGTCAGTTATTTAAGAGATCTCAGTTTGTTAGATATATAAAGATTTAGCAGTCTGATATGGAAAATTAACCTCAAATTAAAAAAAAATCATCTATTTACCGCATGTATCAAAGACAGAATGCCAGGACTTGGCGACTGATTGGGTGACAAAGAAGGGAGTGAATCCACTGTCGAAGGACTCCTAGGGGGTGGAGGAGAGAATTGTAGCTGGTGGAAACTGGCAAGTAGGTTATGACAAGTGTCTAAAATGCTGGACATAGAGCTATGAGCAAAGGGCAGTGATATCTCAGAGGAAGAAGCTTAACTGCCTGTGAAAATTAGAGAAAGTTTCCCAGAAAAAAAATGGAAATTGCCTGGGTCTTGAAGGGTTACTATAGTAGAAGCTCAGCACGCAGAGACATGTAGGAAGGACACATTGGAAACCAACCGGGCAATGCTAAGAAATGTAATGCAAGGTACCAATCCCTATGCAATTTTAATTTTCTGTTTAATCTGGTTACTCATGAGCTATGTTAAAATGGAATTTAGCTGGATCTTGAATTCAAACCCGTAGCAGATATTGAGCTTCCAGGGACACCAAGACCGACATTACACATTCCGTATGCTCCATTTCACTACAAATGAGCAGCTTTACGACCTGACTCCCTTGAGAGTCTTCAAATAGAGATTTAATTAGAAAGCATTAGAGAAACTCATCCTGAAATAACAAAGACAGTGGTAGCCATAGGAAGACATTAGCCTAGTGAGAACTTGGTGCACTCACTGCAGATTCTATTAAGAAAATGGACAAATGAGAAGATTATCTCCTAGGACAGTAATTATGCAATATCACAAAAGGTACTGATATATAAACTTCTCTTAGGATGACAAATATTTTTTAACTGTGTTTCATTCATTAAAACTAGTTTATTGGGGCACCTGGGTGGCTCCGTCAGTTAAGCATCTGCCTTCAGCTCAGGTCATGATCCCAGGGTCCTGGGATCGAGCTCCACATGGGGCTCTCTGTTCAGCAGGAAGCCTGCTTCTCCTTCTCCCTCTGCCTGCCACCCCCCCACTTTGTGCTCTCTCTCTCTCTCTCTCTCTGTCAAATAAATAAATAAAATCTTAAAAAATATAATAATAAAAATTAAAAAAATAAAACTATTAATTTCTGCATTATCCATGGAAACACATTAGAAAGAGGATTGTATTAGATACAGTAAAACAGAAAAGAGCTCTTGGAAAATGATGATAGCTCTTTTGTAGTTATGACTTTATTATAATTAAAAATTTGCATTATATTAAATTACCAGTGTTTATACTAAATATTTATAAATATGATCTAAGTTTTTGATTGACAAATGA